TTTGTGAATGTTAAAATTTTTTTTTAACTTGTATGGTTAATAGAAAACTTTCCTTTTTTATGTAATAATTTTAATCTTTTTTTTTTTTTTTAATAAAATGGAAATATTAATTTTAAATATTTATTGCATGAGTTTCAGGTTTAGCTTGAAACATTTTGCATAATAGGTCACAAATGAGTGCATATAAGGCTAGAATCAGTACTTTTCCAAAATGCAAAATTTTGAATTAGGACTCAAAATTGTAGTCTTTGTGCAGTGCTGTCAAATGCACTGCATAAATGTTGGTGTTTGTTTATAAAAGATTGACTTAGTTTTTAGCATTTAGTAGCACTAATGTTATTTACTTATTAAAGATGAAGTTTTATGGATCTGGCATTGGTTGAGAATGTTTTGGCTCTGAGATGTCTAACTATGTGTTTCTGTATAATGTTTATTTTATAAATATTTAACATTTAGAAGTATAAAACTTTGGAAAGCATCCAGCAGTATATACAGTCAAAAGTCTTTAATCCGGACGTCCTCCGGAATGATCTATAATCCGGACCTCAAAGCTACAAACTTTCTGCGAATAATGCGCATGTGTACGCATTGTACGACCTTTACGGACCTTTACGTACGCGCATATGCATTTATACATGCGCATAATACATTTATGCATGTGCGTTAAATGTATAATGGACGGTATAAGCTAAGCTAAATTTATGTAATTATCTATTTCAGTTAATGTTGCAGATTGCGTTGTTCCTTAATCTTCGAATTGGATCCGGCTTATTATTTTTTGCAGACTGTTAGAGCATTTTTATAAAAGTAAGCTTGAACATTCGATTATGTCAAATGGAATTTCCGATATATATTTACTAATATGTAAAGGATCTACAAAGCGAAAGTATGTTTCAAAGTCCATTAAACAAAAAGTGGAATTGCTGCAAAAAATGGATAAAGGTATATCCTTTAACCATTCCGAAATCTATTTATCAATTTCACGCTGCTCTGCATGGAAGGGGAAACATCGCGGCGTGCAATGAACTGGAAGTTGATCTGTCAGCACTATCCTTATCTTCAGGGCAGATGTTTTTATTTTATTCGGCTTATAATTCCTTACTAAATATAGTATTTCATCTTGATGTACTCCGCCTTTGATATGATTTAAATCAAATTCCTCGTCATTATAATTTGCTTCCGATAGTGAAGAGATTATTGAAAACGAAAAAATTTCGATTGACAAGTTAGTCAGTATTCTCTGCACAGCAATTACAGACCTGAACAGCGGAATTTTGTTACTGAACAAGATATTATGCCTGTTTATAGAATTAAAGAGAAAGTATTAGCACATAAAACGAAGCAACTTAAACAACTTGCATAAAAAGAAATGTTTCATAAAGTAAACAAATAAATATTAAGCTGCTGCTTCTCTTTTTTTTTTTTTTTTTGGTAAATTTTGATACCATTTAGATCATAATTGCTCTTTATTTGATAAACTACGGTTTCATATTTTTAATTTTATAATTTCTGCATGCCATCTTACCAGATTTAAACTGATGATCTATAATCCGGAATCGCCGAAGTCCCGACGAGTCCGGATTAATGACTTTTGACTGTATACCACATAATAAATTATTAAATGAGTTATTTTATAATAATGCAGAATATAAAATGTATTTGAAATACAGCAATTATTAAAAGCTTAAAAAATGCATTAAATAATTTATTTTTAGCAGTCTTATTTCCACCAATTAGTTGGTATTATTTCTACTATTATATGACTTAAACTTTGTATGCTGTATAGCAGCGGTGTCCAACTGGTTTTGCCTTAAAGGCTACTTTAAATTCCTGCCATGCTTTAAGAGCACACTATTTTTGTATGGTATATAACAGTTGCATCCAACTGGTTTTGCCTTAAATGAAAATGCTTTGCCTAAATTTCTGCCATGCTTCGCGTGTACCTGCTTTTTCATGTTTGGGAAAGACAAATTTCATGAAAAGATACAATTTTACTGGATGACTTTGCATTTCCCAATAATAATAATATGAACCCGGAAAAGATGTAAAAAATCCACTAATAAAATGCAAATGTAGTGAGTAGAGTCAAACAAATTTTATTTCAAATTTGGAAATAAAGAAAAGCACAAATTAATAAACTAATTACTAATACAAAAAAGTGTAACTGCTAAACTGTTTAAATGTCAAATATCTCATTAGGTCAGTATTGCATTAAGTCATTAACTTTTTACTGATGAAATATTTGATTATTAATATTACAGGCATCATCTGATACACGGCATGCCAGTGCCACGCTGTTTTCCACATGCTCTGGAGTCAACATATGCTTTTTATTAGTTTAAGATGCAAAGAAGCCTGCTCACAGAGGTATTTTGATCCTAAAAATACTTTCACTGAAAGTGAACATCTAAGTATACTGACGTATGCTTATGGGTTTATAACAGATTGAATCCACACAGAATTGATGACAGCTTGATAAAATTTATTTTACCAAAAGAAACACTTCACAGTGTCATAGAGTACTATCAGTAATTACATTTAAAACTCCTAAAAACGTTAGACACAATCAGAGGCAGATATGCGAAAGAAATCATCCCTGGCAGGGTAAAATATGCTGGCCCTAAGGCCTCATATGAAATGTCATTATACATATAAGTTAGCATTGCCATACACAAACAAAACAACAGTTAATTCATAATTAGCCATTTAAATATTTTTTAATTCCAGGGGCCTGGGCAAATATTTCCTCCATTATATTTTCAATTTTTGCTTTAGCCAAAATATCCTTCTCTATGTTCATCAATAGTAATGATTCCAAATTAGCTTGCTTCACAGTACTCCTTTATCTACTTCTAACAATTTTTAATTTTGAAAAAGGCTCTTTCGCGTTCAACTTGCATTATAGATAGGGCGAGTACAAACTTATAATCAAAAAAGACATTGCCATACACGTTACTATATAAATTATATTTTGAGAATAATTTATATACCCACAAGATGTAATTTTCGCAAAAATTGCATTTGCTTTGGATTGAATGCTCATTAATAGATAGAGCACTCTTTCCTTCTGATTCGGTATCAAATTCAAAATAGTGATTTTCATTTGAATTTTTTAGCATTTCCCATTTACTGACTAGGTTTCGATATGCATCCTTAAGATTATCAATTGTTACGCCTGCATAGCGCCCTAATAATGTACATAACTGTCGAAAGAGTTTGACGACAGTGGCTTCGAAAAGTTTTTGGGATTAAGAAGAGATATGTCTTCATACAATTTCATATGCCCTTTAAACCTACTTTCCATCAATGAAATGGTGTTATCCATTATCAGATTAAAGGCAGTAACTTCAAATTGTTTGACGTGAGAAGAAAAAAGCTATTCAAAGAGTTATTTTGCCCATAATAGATTTTGCCTGTATCTGTGCATTTTGTATATCATTGGAAGCAATACTTTTTGAGTGCAAATATTAATTGTATGTATAAAAAAATTATCTTTGCAATGGAGCATGTGAATTTTTTTACGAAGTTTCTGTGCATCTCCATTGATTTTTGTTTAATGTAAAAAAATTCAACAGCAATATTTTTGGTCATCAACCTTGCATTATTCAGTGACATGGTAAAATTAAATAGAGAGTCTTTTTTAATTACAGTTTTAATGCAATATTTTCAGTTTCACAATTAAATTAACACATGACTGTATTGTATTTTTATAAATCTACTTTACTACTGTAGATGCAGTCAACTATAGGCTCTACTCTACCTCTGCCCTACAACCTACAGCACCGTATGTCATGCGAGTTTGAGTGAGATATTGCGGCCTTATTATCGAAGGCCCTGGCGCTATGTGGTCCGCACATCCCTGTCTCTCCCACGTTCAGAGTACTCTCGCCAAGTCATCTGTGTCGATTTAATTTTTCAAGTTTTTTGAGCGGCCTGAAATCGCTCTGGCCCACCGACCCTATGCAATGAAATGTGCATCTGAACGGCAAAGCTAACACAGAGATATTTTAATACTTCGTAGTGAACTATGAACTAACAATTAAGAGTAGATGCCCCCTCCAATCTTACATAGCTTTCATCCGGTCGCCAAATGGTAGCCAAGTTTGTTGTCACCAAAACCATTGCCAATTTAATGAGATAGCCATTTACTCAATGTTAAATAAACTTGCCTCTGTATTCTTACATTTTTGGCGAGCTTTCATATGACATTATAGCTCCATAATTCTACTAAAATTATTTATATATGTACAACATTTGTAAAATTATTTTTGTATTTAACAGGATCCATTATTTAAATACTTCATTACTTTTATTTTCTGTGCTTTCGAGTGTTATATCAAAAGTAAGAGTTTTAAAGATTAATAATTTCTAATTCAGCCTCTCATTTAATAAAACAAAATTTTTTGATTGATAAAATCACTTCTGTTATGGCTAATTCAACGAAAAAAATTTTGTAAACAATAAAATGGACTCCATAGAAAACATGGCTTGGAATTTTGTTTTAAATTTTGAGCTAAGTAACATAATATTTTCAACATGGTTAGATGGACCATACTTTGGAATAAATTTGAGATCCAGGTTGACAAGTAAATGACACTAAATGTTTATAATCGTTTTTGAATAAGTTGTTCTTCCATAAATCGGTTTTATCCAGAAAAAAGGATATTGAGCTCATTATGTTTTATATGTGTTTTCTTTTTCTTGTAGTGTGGCATTGAGTTTTGTAGTGTCTGTTAAAAATACCACTTCAGCAAGTCACTCCAAGTTATACAATGTTTGGTCACATTGTATGAAACTATATTTCATCAGCCTCATAAGTTGCCCTTTTTAGAAAAAAAAAAAAAAAAAAGTTGAAGCTTAAGTAGCTGAATGGTTAGAACAAAGATTACTAAAACTTAGTTTTTCAGAATATTATGGCCCAGTTGTAATCATTAAAAAGAAAGATGAAACCTCTTGTATATACACAGATTATAAGACATAAATAGTCAAAATATACAAACCTTATGCCTAAGAAAAGCATTGCATTCTTGTTCCACGTTGTAATTAATAATACGGGACATTTCTTCTTGCCAAATTTTCAAACCATAAATACTGACATAATCTTGAATGTACTCAAAAGATCGCCGAAAGCCATCCATTTTCTGACCAATAGCTTCTAACTTTGGAACAAGTTCACTAGACTAAATGAAAAACATCTTGAATTAGAATTTTTGTGGTATAAAAATTGGTGCATTTATAGTGAATGGTAGAATTTATAAGATAAAAAAGAACTACACAATGATTTTTAAAATAAATAACTACAATGTTATGATAATATGAGAAGTGATAATGATGAGTATAGTAATGACTTTGAAAGTGATAGTGGAAGTGTAATCATCATTCATTCTAAGAGATTACGAGTTATTAGTGATAGAAGTGATGATGATAAAGTAACTGCAAATACCTCCGATGATGATATTATTGATGAGTTTTTACCTGCGGATACAATTTTTTCGAACGAATCGAATACTTTTTCTGAAGTACCTGGACCAAAGCATGCCCCTCCTCCTGATGCGAAACCAATTGAATATTTCAATAATTTGTTTTAAATTTTCAATAATTTTTTTTCAAGCAATTTTTTCAATAATTTACTAATTAACAGCAGCGTCTTCGCATTCTTGATACAAAACAAGAGAAGCACTATTGCGCTGCGTCGTATTTTTGGCATACGACAAGTGAAGCGCGCGCCGGACTCAAACGGTTAAAAGAGCAAAATAATTACTATATAGGAAATTATAAGAAAAAATTCAAAGACATATCATTAATAATTAATGTCCTGTTTCATATGCAATCAAACATGTTTTTTATCTTCAGGTGGGAAAAATGGTATTCAGGAGGATTTTTTTTTGTTGCAATTGGAAAATGAAAATGACTCAGAATTCCTCAACCAGACAAATATTTAGGGATAACCTAGTAATGGAAAGATCTTTTCATTTTGTAATAATACCATTATGTTTGTAAGCAATATTTTGAGTAAGGAAACAGAGTGATGATTTTTCATAAAAAATGATGCGATGCATGACAAGATTTCAACAGATCATCACCATTCTCAACGTTATACTATAAGTGCAATTTCATTAAAAAATTGCATGAGAGCTGCAGTATTGATAACAATGGTCCATAATCATCATTTCCATGATAATTTTACTAGAAATATCCTATTTTTGATACAGCATTTCAGGTTGCCAGAATTTCAACATTTTATCTGAAATAAAGTCAATAGTAGAAAAATAACATACTCAAGAGGCTTTATATATTGTTGGCCAATGTTTAAATATTTTGCATGACCCTTCATAAAGGATTAACTACGTTTATAACAAATACAACTTCTGGCCAAACCGTGATCTCATGAATCAACTATCATTACAATATTACACTAGGATTTCCAGTTTTTCCATAACATCTAGGCTACTCTATGTCCATATTTACTATAGACAGTTTGTACCTTAAATTTCTATCTTGTCCATGTAATATTTTAGAAAATTTAACAAAATGATCACATTTTCAGCAACTAATATATCTCTGTTACATTGTAGTACGTACATCATAAGTAATAAAATGAATACATCATAAGTAATAAAATGAATACGTCATAAGTAATATAATGAATGATTCAACCAGTCGTTAATGAAATGTTATAGGATAAGCATGCGGGCAGCACAACAACAGCATTCCAAGCTAACTACATAGAAACTACAAATATGCATATTTCCACTATGAAGTTCAATGAGATGCCATCTGTATGCACTCCAACCTGTATCAAAACTTATCAGAAGTCAATGCACAAACGACATTTTTACAACTTTGAAAATGTGTGCGCAAGGCATATGTTTTAATTAACTATTCATTAATTTTTAATTAATCATTAATTGTAATCAATTTTATTAATTTAATACCCATATATATATATATATATATAAAACTAATTAAAATATGTCTAGTAAATTATACGCATATTTAATTAGAAATTTTTATTTAACTTCTCAAGAATGTATATCACTAAATCTACTAATATATGATCGAAGCAAGTATAACTCATTTATCAGAAAAAATCATAATCCATAAATCATACATCTTTATTCGGGATCTGATTTCCACAGGGAAATAAAATGAAGAAAAATTTAGGTAACCAAGAATACCACATATAACTATTAAAAAAATACTTATAATTTATTTGTAAATTACGAATGCAAAGATTTATATGTAGTATGCTTAAGTTCTGATTCTGAGAATTTTTCTAAATACATTTCTTCATTTGCCTGCATATTTATTTTTTTAATCAAAACTGCTTCGAGTGTTTTAGGACCTAAATTTGGTCCAGCAAAATAAAGACAGCAAACATTACAATAGGTAATACTTTGTATTTAATGTACCCATTCATATTTTTTAATTTGGCAATTTTCCCCCATGCTATATCAATACGCAAATCTACAATTTCTTTCATATCATCTACTTGATACATAGAAAACTCAATTTCCACTAAGATATTTTTCATCAATAATGGATGGGAAACTATTCATCAAGAAAAGAACAGATGAAAATGAAACTTTGGTTCTCAAGTTGATGTCAGCAACTTCAGCATGTTTTAGAAATGGATCATTCAGTGGAAATTTATCTATTATATATGAACATGCAGTTACAAAAAAAGCTCGTATGAATTGAAAAATGATTTTACTTCACTTTCATTCAACTTGGCATTTTTAAAAATATAATCTTGTTTCTGTATCAATCACTAAATTTTCATTTTCTTTACTACACTTCTAAAATGGAATACATGTTAGAGTAACATCTTCATTTTCTTTAGCAATTACTGAGGGTTTTCTGAATCTAACAAATAAATTCATTAAAAGTTCAAAAAGTTCTTTTCTTAATTTATGCATATAAGGAGCTTCTTGTTGCAAATTAATATTTACTGTTATAGACAAAGGCAAAGTATTGTTAGGAGCGGTAAGACGGTTTCCCCGCAAAGCAGTTTTAGGGTTGCCATAACATAGCAAGGACGGCTGGGTTGTCACATTTGGCGAGAAATCATCCATTTAGCGACAAAATTGGCGATGTGCCATGGACGGATGGAGAACCTTCTGGAACGAATTATTACCAGTTTAGCCCAGAATGTGCTCAAACACAAGCCGAAAGCTATATAAACCCTGCTGGTCTGCAGTCAGGGTGTGCATGCCTCATCTAGAATGCGAGATAGTCAGTATCGAGTTGCGCATGGAGAGTGTCGAGAGTACATGGAGTTCCGAGAACGACCGAGCACAGTCGGGAGCTGTACTCTGGTGCTTTGCAGTGAAGCTGTCTCCACCGTGATAGCCTGATAACCTGAAGGCTGTGTCACTGATCGTGTCAGCATATAGTAGTTCATCAATGACTGTAAAACGTGTTTTGGAGTTGTCCTGACAATACTGGCAAATAAAGTGTGTTTCGATACTTCATCAAGTGTCGTCGTTATTCACTCCAAATCCACACGAAAACCGTATGAACATGAAGAAAGAAAATAACTTAAGAACTGGTGTCAGAAGAAAAGAAACGTAAATAACGTAACAACTGGTGTCAGAAGAAAAGAAGCGTAACAGTATTTTTCAAAAATAATAAGTACAATTTGGTGGTAGGTGATCGTAACATTTTTCTTTTAATGTTTTGCATTCTCTTTCCTTCATTCTCACTCTTATCTGGTTGATCACCAAAAAATTAATCAGAGTATCCCACTGTTCCAAAATCCTTGTTGTCTAAAAGAGACAACCATCTCGTACTGCAGTATTTCAAAATTTTATGAGATTTTGCATTCTGTCCCAAAATTTGTTGAGCAACTTTAAACTTCAAAACCTTTCCCCAAATAAAAATATATATCCATTAACAACATTTCAATTTCTGAGGCAATTAATTTTTCAGCAGCCTCCCCCCCCCCAGCTATATCCAAGAGGTAGCATGAACAACCTCAGATGATTATATTTGGTTGATGCTTTTGATAAACGATGTTACAACTTTAAATTTTTACATCATATTACTAGCATTATCTGAAAAAAATGATATGCATTTTTTCCATTCTATAATTTTGCTTTTAAAGGTTTCATTTATACAATTAAAAATATCTTCTCTGGTACTATTTATGCATTCTAAAATAGAAATCAGTGAGGTAATTATCACTCCCTTTTCTTTGCTATAATATGTTATAATCAAAGGGTACAGTTTGTTACTATTACTCTTCCATCAGTACTTAAAGAAACACACACTGATTTTATAATATCAGCAACAGTACTTTCTGCAAGCACTTTCACAACAGCAGCAGTTTCGGTATGACGGCAGCTAATTTTTTTTTTTTTTTTTTTTTGTTATGGCAGAATCCGGATAAATTGTTAATAATGCATTACTTATTTGATGTTTATTGCTTGTATAGTTTAACAGTTTGCATGTGGCTAGAGTAAGAGATATTCAAGTTTGAGAATGATGTAACAACGCTAGTAGTCTTTTTTTTTTTTTTTTTTTTCTTTCGTGATAATAAAATTTGTTTTCATTGTAACTGATTCTATTGTGCAAATAATCACCGCAGTTATAGTGTTTGAATGATAGAGACAAATCTATGATGCAAGTCTTTAATTAAAGGCTACTTCGTGCTGAAAAGTTATTTATAATTTTAAGTATTAAAAGCTGAAAAGTCAGTGATACTTTTTTCTTGTAAACTTTAACATTATTGATGTCCAGTGACAGGATTATTTTCGTATTTAAAGATGTTTCAAGTAATAAAAGGTTTTTAAAAAGAAGATTTGAAACAAATTAAGGAAGAAATTGGTGATAAGCTGGATTATGATCTTCAAGAAATGACAATAGAGCAAGAACTTCAAAAAACAAAAATGGATTATGAACTGGAATTGGAAAGAATCCAAGCATAAAATCAAAGTGAGTCACTTCCATCTATTTCTGTTTATGATGTACATAGTTCGAAGTGAAGTTTACTTTGCCTAAATTAGAATTTTGATAATTTGGGGATGATATTAAAGATTGGCTTCCTTTCTGGAGTCACTTTGAGCAAATACATAAAGATAATAATATTGCCCCTGAGGATAAATTCCAGTATTTAATTCAAGCTACCGTGTCAGGTTTCCGAGCTAAAGGAGTTGTCGAGAGTCTTCCGCCTATCGGT